CACCGAGCCGCCCTGGATCTTCCGCTTGGACCGCTCGTGTTTGGGCAGGTTCCAGGGCAGCGTGTCCCCCGGCGCCGGCGACACCGTCCCCGATCTCTGGCTGAAGTCCTCCTCGTCGGAGAAATCGGCGGAGGACGACATGGAGCATCGGTAGGACGCGTTGCCGGAGCTCTGCACGGGGAGACAGACAGACAGACAGACAGACAGGGTGCGTGGGGAGCAGCTCGGGACGAGCCTCAGGTGGCGCCGGCGAACAGCCGCCCCGCGTGGCGTGGAAAGCATCTCACGGGAAAAGGAGGATACGGGAGAGGGCCGCCGCTCACCATTGCCGTGAATTTAGAGGGGAAAGGGGTGCGTGTGCGGAGTGCCGAGGGTGATCCTCCAAAAAATAGCTGGTCTTTAGCGGGAGTGCATTTGGAGGGATGTCGGGGTAGAGCCGTGGCCTGCGGCTGGGCAACCAGCTCGCAAATGAGCCTCCCACTTCCCCAACAATAAACCCAGCAGCAACAACAGCCGAAGGAAAAAAAAAAAACACCAACCTTCCCGGCTACAGATCGATGGCGTTTGGCTCCCCCGCCAGGACAAGGGGAAGATTTGCCATCACCGAGCTGCTGGTAAATGCAGCCCTGGGACAGAGCCGGGCCCGCCGGGAGCCAAGGAGCGCTCTTTATTGCCTGCCCCGCGACCCCGGGGCCAGCCCGGCGCGGCTGCCGAACGCGACGGGGGCGAGGAGGGAAGCAAGGAACACGATTTCTCAGAGCAGCCCCTTTGGGCAGCAGGGCACAATGGGCAGCCTTCGGTCACACTTTGCCAGGCGGCTTCGGCAAACAAACGACTGAAGTCGGTGTATGGACTGTCGGCACTTTTGGCTTCCCAGCTACTCAAAAAAGAGCTCTTCCAGAAACGTAAATAAACACTGATGTACTGCAGGGAGAGGGCTGCTGCCATGTCTGTCTTCCCTGGTTATGGTAAAGAGGGAAATGGAGATGTGTGAACAGTTCAGCACCATGTTGAAATTTAAGGTACGTCATTAAACACATGTTATCAGGACATATTGGACAGCAAGATACTATTCCTTTTACTCTGTATTTTGTGATTGAAGGGACTTGTGGTATCTCCAAGGCACAAGACAAGAAAATGATGGGTTTGATTTGTCATTTCATGTGGGAGCTGCTGTAACAGCCTTTCAAAAGTGCAACCTGATGCTTCTCCAATTATGTTGATTTTTAGGTGTGTGCTGTTGTCAACTTTTACATGTGTAGCAGAATCACAGACTCACAGAACTGTCTGAGCTGGAAGGGACCTTTAAAGACGACCTAGTTCCAACCCCCTTGCTGAGGGCAGGGACATCTTCCACTAGACCAGGTTGCAAAAAGCCCCATCCAACCTGGCCTTGAACACTTCCAGAGCTTCTCTGGGCAACCTGTTCCAGTGCCTCACTGGAACTTCATCGTGAAGGATTACTTCCTTATACCTAATCTAAATCTACTTTCTGTAAGTTTAAAGCCAGAATATTTTGTTACACAGAAACATGTCCATTCAGCCATTCTAGATTCCAGATTTGATACTAAACCAGATAGTATTTGAGGCTTGTACTGTACCCCTTAATTTTCTTTTTTTCTATAAAGGGGCTTAAAGGGTACCTTTACTTAAAGAGGAAATTTGTACAGTGATTGAGTCTGATAAAATGTACTGCTGCTGATTATTTTTTTTTCTGTCAGTTGTCATGGTGGGTATTTTATCCATTTAAAACTCAGAATCTGCATAATCCAGAGCAATAGCATGATGCAGTCTTTGCTCTGCATAAAACTAAAAATAATATACAGTTAAATAATCTGCTGTAATAAGAGGAGATCACTTATTAGTGTTTTTCCCTTCTGACCCTCTTTACTTCTATCCCAATTCTCTTTTCTCCTTGTACAGTACTCCATGGTGAAGTTTGAAACATGCAAGTTGAGAGGGAGGGAATGAATACATAAAACCAATTAACTGAATTATTGTTCACTGTCTTGTGAGGTAGAGAGCAAAAGGTAAGTGCAGAAAAACAGAAACATGAGATGTCTGATACCAGCTCGGATTGCCTTCATAATTTGTTTTAGTGCAAAGACTATTTTGCTGTCAGTCTATAATAGGCTTAAAACTGGATCTCATAAAGCAGGATGGTCACATTCCACACTCCTGATAGAAGCTGGAAGTGTTTGGCTTGCTGCAGGGCACTTTGTTGTACCAGCTGGGCTACCAGGGCCCCTCATGTGCTTAGTCAGGGATTAGGTTCCTTTGAGCCTGTCCTTAGCTCCAGATTTTGCCATAGAAGAGAAAGTGTTGCCTTTAATCCCAGCTCTGAACAGCCTGCTTGAGGCCTGAACCTTCCTTTGGCTGATCAGCAGCCCCCAGTATCTCTGGATCACACAGACCCACTGAGACAGATTCTGACGTCCATCTTTTCCACCTTCTGCATTTCTAGTTTATAATATGAAAGTTGGAAAGAGCCCAAACACAGTGTTGTGAGGTGCTGGAGCAATAGTTTGTTAGTATTTATGTAGCAGCTTTAAATATGCAAGAATAAAGTAAAATAGCAATTGCTGTTGAAGTTTTGAGGAAAGATCTCTCAACTCTCAGATTTATATTTGAAAGTAAGTTGTTAATTTTATCCATTAGGATTTTCTTTTTTCAAAGAGGCCTTCATAGCCCATTATTATATTTCATCTCCTACCTGTAGAAGCCAAAAACACTGTTGAGTGGTCGTTCATTATGCACTGAAATGTCAATTTTAGGGAAAAGGAGTCAGCCTTTTTAGTCAGCTCTGCTACAATACTGGAAAATAAGCTGTGTGAGAAGGCTCCACTCATATTTTATGGGAATCAAACTGAATAGCCAGTGGTAAAGTAGTCTTTGGCATCTGTGTGTATTACAACTAGCTATTGGCTTTTAGGTTATCCTACCTTAATTAATGCATGCAGTAACCAAATGAATAATCAAAACCCACTTTAGCTTTTAACTCTTCAAGGGCCATGTTGTTTCATTTTCAGAGTAATGTAAAAAGTTCAGAAAGGAATTTTTCATAACAACAAAATCTGGAAAACATTAAGAAATGTCAACTTCCACCTTAATTAGAGTCTACTTTCTTATTCAGCATGGAGATACTTCTGAGTAAGGTGTACACAGAGATATTGAAATACCTAAGTATTTTTACCTTGCTATTCCAAAAATGTTTATAAGGAACTGAACAACTTTGCTTGAGTAAATTAACAGCTTGGATAAGAATTCTGTAATTGTTCCTCTTTTGCACAAGCAGTGTTCATGTATCACTCATCTCACTGGACACTATGTTTCTAGTATACACATTTTCCCTGATAGACTTGTAAGTCCCAATAAGTATTCCATTGTCAGAGCAACATATTGAGCAGTTTAAAAAATAGGAAAACATGCAGAACATCTGTACCACTATGAAAAAGGTTCCTGGCCCATTAGGACAACACGTGAAAAAAAAAAAAAAAAAAATTATATTCTGTTAAAATCAAAATGTGTAAGGCACTTCTGTTATTTCTGTATAAAGTACACGGCTGTGTGCATGTGAAAAACAACAATTAATAGTACACAGTGCTTTTTGGGGGTCTACATGAGCCTGCTCTTAGGGATTTAGCAAGGATCAGGGCTTGGCCGCTCTTAGCCTGAAGGCCTGTAAGGTCACAGCCCAGTTGCTACAGCTGCTTGTTCTCCGTCTCCGATTCTGCGCTGCTGCTGCCGCTGCTCAGCAGCCTGGCGGTCTGTGCGCAGCCCGTGTGGCTGCTCCGCGGGAGCGGCTCAGCGGCAGCGCGGCTGTGCGGGGACACTCGGGGAGCCACGGGGGCCGAGCAGCGGAGCGGCTGCCAGGGCTGTGCGGGGACACTCGGGGAGCCACGGGGGCCGAGCAGCGGAGCGGCTGCCAGGGCCGGGACTGCGGGGCTCTGCTCGCTGCCGGGGCCGCACGGGGGTGCACAGCGCACACCGGTGCCCGGGAGCCCGGCTCCACCAAATCAGGGCACTACCGCAGCCGCCGGAGGGTCCGTCAGGCTCGCAACCCTGCTGTAAAAGCGAGCTGGTTTCCAGCAAGGGGAATGATTGCAAAGAAGCGTTTAGTATGCTTCTTGTAAGAGGGATTCGGCCGAGTTCCAGGACATGATTTCCCTTGAGGAGGGAAAGCAGCGCTGTTTGTCGTAGGTGAGGCACTGCAGAGGATCGGGTAGAAACAGAGTGTAAGATGATGTAGCTGGCAAATGGAGTAAGGGTATTGCACACCGCCAGAGATCGGGTAAGGCACCTGTAAATAGGAGCTGAAAGGGTCAAGAACAGCGGGAACTGTACAGTCATTCCTGGGGGAGGAAGCATTAGCCCAGGTCAGGTTTTAAATTCGGTCAGGCAAACCAGTTGGGAAAAGCTACTGCAAGGCTGATACCAAATTATCTTCATATTACAAAAATTCCCCGACACTATAACACATCAGAGATTGTGCTGGACAGCGGAATTCTAATCAAATATCTTGTACTTTCACATTTTATCTTTAAGAAGATTGTCCACTGCAGTGAGTTCTTTTATGCTGGTTTCTGGAAGCTGTGGGAAGTACAGGTCAACACTGACTGACATTTAATTTTCAGTTTAATTATGAATTATTTATATTTCACTTATACTAAACTATCTCAGAATTCCTGGAATATATATTTTTTCTTTTATTGTACTCTTTGTGGGAAATAGATAAATATCAACAGAAATGAAGCACTAGAATGATTATTTTACTCAGCGTGTTACAGCAAAATTCCTTCAAATTTAAAATAATTTAGAATATCAATTGAAAGTAAACGGCTATTTTTGTCCTTTAGCATCCCAGACTGAATCATATTAAAGTGGATCAACTTTTAAAGTAAAATAAATTAACAAATTTAAGACAAAATCTAGGGCAACTGAATGTTCCCATTAGTAAATTTTTACCACTTTAACCTGGTTAGATGATAATGCAGTGCAGAACACAAAACATCCAATGTATGTAAGCAGGCTATGTGAGTCCCTTGGGATTGCATGTTGTCAGAAATGATCAAAATTCAAAACACACAAAAATGAAAGTACAAACAAGGACAATGTAAATCCAAGTTTAAAAAAAATCACCAGTGGAGATGCAGATATAGGAAATTAATATT